TGATAGACTATAGTATTGTCATCAGTATGACATAAGTATACCAAGTTTGCAGTCGATACCACATTGGGAAGTGGGTTAAAATTGAGTTACAAGATTTGAGGATACAACAACGACAGACAGTGAGTTAAAAAAAAGCGTGTAAAAAAAATAAACACTTTTCTAGGTTTTTACTTTTAGTTAAATTAGCGCGCCGCACTTTGGACCCAACAAGTCCTAGTTCGACTCCTGGCCATGGCTAACATCAGTGGTGAGTGACTGACTCGCCACTGATGTTAGCCCCCCGGGACAGATCACCGTGGAGTTTGATCACACGACCCCGTGGACTGACATGGCGTGGGGGATTGGGGAGACCTTTAACCAGCGGAGGGTTGACACAGTCGCACACTGTTAACGTTATCGAGACGTATAGAGGACTGCGGTATTCACTTACAGATCAGTTTAACAACGTAAGAGGCTTTCACGACCAACATTACCCATAAGGTTTTTGGGTTAGATTGCGTAAATATAAATGTGTCGTTAAACCCATCACCACCTGACACAGCCTGATGATGCTGTCGCCTGATTACGCTCGTTGTATTTACTGTATTTACTGGCGAAATGTCACAGCACTCGAATTATAAATGCTGCGAGTTTACTCTCCAACACACCGTGTGCTGTACTAGCAACGAACTGCCATGTTTTGTTTAGGTGACAAACCTTACGAATTGGCTGTGTCGGGTGGTGGCAGGTTTAACGACACATTTATATTTACTCGATCTAAGCAAAAAACCTGTATTATTCACTCAGATATTTGGGAGCAGTGGTGGCACAGTAGTCGGCACACTTCGCTACAAACCCAGCAACCCGAGATCAATTCCTGGCTACGGGTAACGTCAGTGGTAATTATGAAAACCGGTGCTGGACAATCCACGAGGTTGATTCAGCATTAAACAAGTACCTGATGCATTGTGTAAACACCAGCCCTGGGGAGACAAAGGCAGCCAAGACTGGTGCTGGCTACAGCATCATATCTTGCCCCGTGCCAGCATTTACAGGTGCTAGCTGACAGCATGTTTTTAATTTTGCCCCCAAGTCCTGTTAAAGGGCGATCTTTGTCTGTGTAAGTGTACACGGTGCGATATAGGCTGTGTGTGTAGTACACGGTGATATAGGCTCTGTGGGGAGCGGTGGTGTAGCGGTTAGCGCTACGCTGCGCTATGAACCCGGCAATCCGGATCGATTCCCGCTCACGGCCAACACCAGTGACGATTATCTGAACCGGTCCAAGACCTCCCCTAGGTCGACTCAGCCTCAAATGCGTACCCGGTGCGGTGTGTAAACATTGCCACTGGGGAGACAAAGGCGGTCGGGCGTGGTGCTAGCCACCCACCCCCTCGTGTATCGTTCCGGCCTTCATAGGTGCCCGCTAACAGCACTTGCCCCAACAGTCTGTTAAGGCTACACGGGGGATCTTTGTCTTTGTATAGGCTCTGTACACTGTGCTATTGGCAGTGTGTATACCGTGTACACCCTTATGGTGTATTTCTGACCACACCGTTTCCTTATGAGCTGTACCCGGTCTTAATAGGTGTTTGCGAACAGCACTTGTGATAATTATCACGGCAACGAGGACTGTGTCGTGATGAGGACGACCACGGCTGACATGCTGATAACTCACGGGCACTCATCGCTGGAGAACCCTAAAACAATGCCCATTACAAACACTCCACGCCTCACTCGCACGAGAACACAATGAGCTAAGAAGGGACATTGAAACAGCATGGCACACGCAGCGGAGTCAATGGGAAATGCAAAGTAGCAACCGTGACGCGGATGAACTATGTGTGGAAGAATGTGAAATGTCAAGAGCGTGGCATTTCATGTCGCCCACAGGGTGGGATACCGAGGACTGCTACAGAACGGAGAATACGTCTGTCTATAGTATACAGCACTGTACAGGGTATACTGTCTATGTACAGTATACATCACTGTACATGGTATACTGTATCTGTACAGTATACAGCGCTGTACAGGGTATACTGTTTCTGTACAGTATACATCACTGTACAGGGTATACTGTTTCTGTACAGTGTACAGCACTGTACAGGGTATACCGTCTATGAACAGTATACAGCACTGTACAGGGTATACTGTCTCTGTACAGTATACATCACTGTACATGGTATACGGTCTATGTACAGTACACAGCGCTGTAAGGGTATACTGTCTATGTATAGTATGTGTGTACACTGTACTACAGGCTGTGTGTGTACACTGTACTACAGGCTGTGTGTGTGCACTGTACTACAGGCTGTGTGTGCACTGTACTACAGGCTGTGTGTGTACACTGTACTACAGGCTGTGTGTGCACTGTACTACAGGCTGTGTGTGTGCACTGTACTACAGGCTGTGTGTGCACTGTACTACCGGCTGTGTGTGTACACTGTACTACAGGCTGTGTGTGTACACTGTACTACAGGCTGTGTGTGTACACTGTACTACAGGCTGTGTGTGTGCACTGTACTACAGGCTGTGTGTGTGCACTGTACTACCGGCTGTGTGTGTGCACTGTACTACAGGCTGTGTGTGCACTGTACTACCGGCTGTGTGTGTACACTGTACTACCGGCTGTGTGTGTACACTGTACTACAGGCTGTGTGTGTACACTGTACTACAGGCTGTGTGTGTACACTGTACTACAGGCTGTGTGTGTACACTGTACTACAGGCTGTGTGCACTGTACTACAGGCTGTGCGTGTACACTGTACTACAGACTGTGTGTGTACACTGTACTACAGGCTGTGTGTGCACTGTACTACAGGCTGTGTGTACACTGTACTACAGACTGTGTGTGTGCACTGTACTACAGGCTGTGTGTGCACTGTACTACAGGCTGTGTGTGTGCACTGTACTACAGGCTGTGTGTGTGCACTGTACCACATGCTGTGTGTGTGCACTGTACTACAGACTGTGTGTGCACTGTACTACAGACTGTGTGCACTGTACTACAGACTGTGTGCACTGTACTACAGACTGTGTGTGTGCACTGTACTACAGGCTGTGTGTGTGCACTGTACTACAGGTTGTGTGTGTACACTGAACTACAGGCTGTGTGTGAACACTGAACTACAGGCTGTGTGTGCACTGTACTGGCTGTGTGTGAACACTGAACTACAGGCTGTGTGTGAACACTGTACTACAGGCTGTGTGTGAACACTGAACTACAGGCTGTGTGTGAACACTGTACTACAGGATGTGTGTGTACACTGTACTACAGGCTGTGTGTGTACACTGTACTACAGGCTGTGTGTGTACACTGAACTACAGGCTGTGTGTGTACACTGTACTACAGGCTGTGTGTGAACACTGAACTACAGGCTGTGTGTGAACACTGTACTACAGGCTGTGTGTGAACACTGAACTACAGGCTGTGTGTGTACACTGTACTACAGGCTGTGTGTGTACACTGTACTACAGGCTGTGTGTGTACACTGTACTACAGGCTGTGTGTGTACACTGAACTACAGGCTGTGTGTGTACACTGTACTACAGGCTGTGTGTGAACACTGAACTACAGGCTGTGTGTGTACACTGTACTACAGGCTGTGTGTGTACACTGAACTACAGATAACTCGAGTTCGACTCCCGACCACGGACAACTTCAGTGGGCAGCTGACATCGAAACCGGCCCTGGGCCTCCGCAAGGGACTCGGCACTGGGAAGACAAAGGCGGCTGTGCGAAGTGATTTTCGCACCTTCCACCAATCGCGACGTGCCGTTCTTAATACGAGCTAACGCCAGCACTTGTCCAATCAGCTTGTGCAGGCTACACGGGGGATCTCTATCCAGATTGTCGTTGATGTTTGCGTGTACAGTGCGTCCTCGATGCGCTTCCGCGCTCCTGGCCGCACAAATCTGCGGGTTGCTCGTCCTGAACGCACAACACAAGTGGCGGTGACGTCACCACAGCGCTTGTGCCAGGCTCGGTGCACCTCGTAAGGCACGTCAAGTGTCGAGGGCTCGCTGGCAGGAGGGCACGGAACAAGGCCCAAGGTGCCTCGGGTTGACCGCGATGACCGGCAAGATGTGTCGCCGGTGTTCCCCACTGCGCCAACTCGCTGCGCTGTAGCCGCCCGGAGCTCCGCTCGCTGTTGCTGGAGGGCGACTGCCTCCAATTGCCCAGTAGCAGCAGCAGCAGCAGCGTCCTTCACGAGCCTCCTCCACGGAGGGCCGAACTTAACACCGCCACTACCGGTCCACTCAGCTCCATGCTGCTGTGAACCCCACCAGCTCCATCTCTTCTCCAGCTCGTACCGCGCCCGTTTCGCCCCCTCGATGCGGCCCAGCACAGGAGCTGCTCGGGCTCGCGAGCTACGTGACCCACCCCACGTCGCTTTGCCGCTCACCCACGCGACTGCGCCCAAGCCTCTCAAATATCTTACACGGAGTACACCACATTATACACACACACTGCACACACACACTGCACACACACACTACACACACACACACACACACACACACCACACACACACACTACACACACTACACACACACAACAAGCCCAACAACAACGCCATGTATTGCAAAGGGTCAATGCCCAAAACGTCGCATGTTTCCCCTTTCAAGGCCACATTGTGATTGACGAACGTGTCGAGTTAGTTCATTAATCGTGCTTGTGCACCTACTGCCAACGCAGCAGCATCCACAAATGTGTGCCAGGCTAGGTGCATACAAGTGAAACAGCCAGCAATGCACAGTTTCCGCATCTAAGCCTACACACAAACAACATCGTCAAGAGCCGTACCGAGGTTTGTATATTCGGAGGGGTCCCCGTAGTCGGAGTTGAGGTAAACGAAGGGGTTCGCGCTGACTGAGGGGTCGGCCGAAGGGGGTTGGAGGTTAAGTTGGGTTCACGTCGAACGTGACGGGAGGTGACGGAGGCGGCCTTCATCCAGCAGTGGATCGATCATGGCGTGGTTTTGTGCCCCCCGACCCCCCCCCCCCCTCTCGTCACTCACCAGGCTCAGAGGGGACTCGGCGCAGCTCCACGGCTGAGTGGTGAAGGTTACAATCCCAACCCCGGAGTTCCTCGCCCGGTCTCTTCCACTCTTCACAGACGCCTCTGTCTCTCTCCTCCTCCTCTTCACTCCTCTGCACCACAACTCGTGCTCTCGGAACTCTCCTCACGTCGCACTATCGCATCACCTCGCACCGTCTCCCATCTCCCTCCCACCTCTGCCGTACTCTTTACACTCCCGCGAGTTCTACCCCCTTAGCAAGTTACCTTGACACGTGCACAGCTCACGTCTGCGCGGCTCGTGGAGGTTTTTGGGTTATCGGAGCTCGTAGCGGTCGAGCTCTGAGGCCTCCGCTCCAGCGCGTCGACGGACGGAGGGGGGGGGGGCTCTGACTTATATAACTTGGGGGGTCGTGACGTCACGCAAGGGCGGGGTCACAATAAATGACGTCATTGCGCGCGGGTTGTGGCGCGGGAGACATTGAGCGGGAACGTCACGACGCAAATGAGCGAATGCGAGACGTCACGACGCACGGGGGGGGCGGGGTGACGGAGAACGCGGCGACGTCACGACGCAAGTGTAACGAGGGTGCGGTGTGACGCCATTACGCAAGGGCGTTCGTCGTGACGCGAGGGGGGGGGTCTTTAAATCGCGTGCACTGAACGTGATGCCGTCATGACGTACAAGGCCTTTACATGACGACATGACGTCATGACGTGGGTTTTCTCCCCATGCCTCAAGGTTCAGGTGCAGCAGGCCGGGCGTGGTCACGAGGCACGATGACAAAATCACGCACATTTGAGTCGCCTTCACGTCACGGTATTGTCATGCAACGTTCAGGCTTCTGGAGTGTTCAGAGCAGGATGCGATTAAAACGAGGCTTAAACACCGACACACAATACAAACGAGACGACACGAGGGGGAATCGAGCCATTTAATATGACGCTAGTGCAGCCCAAACGATGGAAACGTGATGACGTAACAACGCAAAGACCCCCACCGCCCCCCGTGTTCGCGATGACTTCACGGGACAGTGGCGCACAGACGTTCCGCGTGACGGACGCCACGTGATGTCATCGCTAAACAGTCACGACGTCATGGCGTGCAGTGGGAACGTTCCGACAAGATGACGTCAGGACGAGGCTTTGATGACGTCAGGACGAGGCTTTGAAGACGTCATTGCGGAGATGCTGATTTAGGCAAAGGTGAGGCGTTAAAATGAATCATGTCGACAATTAGGGAGTCAATAACGCCCGTAATGACTAACCGTGTGAGAAACCGCACGGGCAATTAGTTATGTGAATGAGAAATTCCAGACTCACTGCTGCCAAATATTCCCCCCATCAACTCGCCATCTCCTGCCTCTCCCCTCTCATCTCACTACTGTGGTGCCACAACGACGGGGCCGCTCTGCCGAACCAGGGAGCCGCCCGGCTTCCCCCACCGCACTGCCCCCCATCACCCGCCCCACATAAGCACACACCCGCACGCATTCCCCCCCCCCCCCCATAGAGCTGGAAGGGAAGGTCACCTGATCGACCGGTTTTTATCCGAGAGACCCTTATCGGGATTAATTCTCACGGTTTCCGGCGATCAGGGAATTAGATGACCTCCCCGTGCTACGTGGCACCGCGGCGCTGCGGCCGGCCTTAATATGGTGTGGTCGCGGCGTGGGGCATTCGGCCACCGCGGTTGAGGCGCATTTCCCCCCACACACACCCCCACGAGTCGACGGGGCAAGCAGGGGAGGCACGGGACAGCATGAATAGCGGGCTCACAGGGGCTGTTGCGCATAGTCATGGAGGGTTGGGATAATTGCGCTTGAGCGCGCAGGCCCCATTGTTAGGGAGGGTAAGGGATTAATTAGGATTTACGCCTTGCACGCAGCACACTGATTAGCATATCAACAGCGCCCGGGGAACCGCCGTGCACGGGCTTGGGGTGCACGAGCCGATTGTTCAGCGCAGCATCCCCTTTGAGGTAGGGAGGATAAATAGAGGAGCGGAGAGGGGAAATCGCGCCTTCTCTCCAGGCCAGCGGACCAGCAGGGGTTCCAGCCAGCGACCCGGACGTCCGTGCGACGCATCGAGGTACGCTGTTAGCGCAGAGAGCAGCGAACCTCCGCGGGCACCAAACAGTGAGTGGGGAGGTGAAGTAGGGTATCGTAAGCCGATAAATAGGGAATAGGTACAGGTTTAGTGGAATAGGCCAGCCTCGTCGACTCACTGATTCAACATCAATTCGCAGGTGGCCTATAATAAATCATTAATAGCGAAGCGTGGTCTCGCGTGATCTTGTCGTGCAGTGTGAGCGTGTGGGTGCGCTGTGTGCACAGTGGTTCGCCACGTGAGTGAGCGCTGCGCGGAGCTGAGCGCGCGGGTTGCGCGTGGGTACGCAGTGATTCTGTGGTGCTGCGGCTCGCCTCGGGGGAGCGCTGCGCAGAGCGGTGCGAGAGTGGGTGTCGCGTGTGTTCACTCCGTGTGTGATACAGGTGCGCGAGTATAACGTGAGTTGAGTTGGAGTGCGCGGAGCGGCGTGTGTGTGGGCGTGCGTGCGTTCGCTCCGCGTGGGTTGCAGGCGCGCGATTAGGAAAGGGAAGTATCGTAGTAGAGAGGGGCAGAATACTAATCGGTAATTAACCATGCCCATTACGCGGACCCGCGGTGGAGGGGAATCCGCGGGCGACGGCTCCCCCGCCATAGGTGAGGAACTTAGCAGCGGGGGGGCGATTGATGATGCTAGCCCGGCCGTTAGCATTATCGAGGGAGGGATCTCGGGGGCTAGCGACCCCCACATATTGGTGTCAGAAGTGGGGTGATCTCCCGCACCCCCAAGGGAAAGAGGCCCCCCAACCCAGGTTAAAATCAAATGCACATTTACGGGCAAAGGAATTCCATCATGGAAATCGTTTGCCCGCAGCATCAGGGAGGCTAAAAAGGTTAATGGGTGGTCGGATGAGGAGGCGTTGCAGCAGTTAGAGATACATTTAGATGGACGGGCAGCTGACTTTGTGGAAGCTTTGCCCGCAAGCACACAAACTCAGTGGGAAAAATTAATGTGCGAACTCGAACGGCGCTTCGGCGCCTATGACGAGGAGGAGGCGCAGGCGGCCTTAGAGGCACGCCGCCGCCAGCCCGGCGAGGATCTGCGAGATTACGCCGAGGACGTACGCATGTTGACCCAGCTTGCGTACCCGGAGCACGAGGCGAAAGTAATTGAGAGCCTCGCCGCCGGGAAGGTCCAGCGATATTTGGCACGCACCCCGTGGTGGCAGCCAAATATAGACGGTGCACGCCTCTCCTTTAACACACTTGTCGAGCGCGCGCGTAAATGCGAGAAGCTCTCTGGTGAGCGCGCGCAGCCTCGAGGGAGGGGACGAGAGTGCGCCGTAGCGAGCCTACTCTCGGACGAGGAGGAGGAGCTCGCCATCGCAGTAAGGGGACGGGCAAGGGAGCCCCAGAGACCCAGCGAAACAACTCCGGGGTGGGTAGCTGGGTTACAGACCGGCATCGGAGATATGGATGGTAAGATAACCCACGTAGGTGAGAATATGACCAAGCTGAAATCCTCCGTTGAGACCATCCGATCCGAGATGGGGGAACTAGACTCCACGGTAGGAGGGCTAACTGGAAGGATAGCGCTTCTAGAAGCAGAATATGAGCAGCAGCGCACTGGGGGAGGAGGGAGTGGGCAGAGAGCCCACCACGGAGCCGCCACCCCTCCCCGGGCGTGTTATGTGTGCGATCGGCGAGGGCATCTCAGGAGGGACTGTCCTCAGGTCGCCCGAGCTAGACAAGAGCTAAGGTCAAACACTAAGGCCCCCCTAGAGAGGGGACCGCCGGTGGGTGAAATCGACGTAGCCCCGACACAAACAAGCTGTGAGAATAATGGCGAGCGAGTGATCTCCACACAGGTTCCAGCAACAACGCCCACAGAAACGGTGACTCCTGGCGACTGGCTACGGGAGCTGGTGGCGGGGATCACGGGGGCCACGTCGCTGGTGGAAGGGGAGGTTAACGGAGTGCGTACCCGAATCCTGCTGGACACGGGGGCGGTGGCCTCGCTCGTGAGCGCAGCGCACTGCAGCGCGATCGGGGTCGACGTGCGTCACCTGCAGGCCCCGGACCGCGCGCTGCACACTGCGAGCGGAGCCGGAATGGGGCTGCTGGGGAAAGCCACCCTGAAGGTCCGCATAGGCAGCCAGGTGTGCACGCAGGAGTTCTACGTGTCGAGTGCGTTGTGTCACGAGTGTATCGCAGGCACCGACCTCCTAGAACGGTTGGGACTCAACGTGCAACCCCGCCAGCGATGCGCCACCATGGAGAGCAACGGCGAGCGGATACCGTTCCTGGGACGAGAACCAACGCGCCGCCGCTTTGCACCTGTGGCCGCTATCCTGACGACGGCAGTCACCATCGGCCCGCTCACCGAGATGCTGGTGCCGGTGGCAACATCCCCCACCGACCCCGCGCTCCGACCATCAGGGGAGGTAATGCTAACTCCTCACCCGGAGTTGGCAAAACGGTATGGGGTTGTGGGATCCGCCACGTTGGTAAACGCAGATGGGGACCGATTGTTTATGCGGATGTTTAACCCCCACAATACCCCCGCGATACTGCGACGGCGCACCCCGATAGCCACAGTACACCCCCTGCACGCACGCCACTCTAACGACTCGGTGTTCGCACTCTGGGCTGAGGACCCCGGTCGTCCTGAGGGTGAGCAGGACCTGGCCTGGCGAGTCGGCCCGACTCCCCGAGCCGAGGTCGTTCCCCTGCTCGACGCGTTACATGTACCATGGGCGGACTTACCTAAGGGAGAGGCCGATCGGCTGCGCGAGTTACTGCAGGAGTATGCCGACGTGTTCAGCGAACACGACTCGGACGTGGGTCGGACCGACCTTGTTAAGCATCAAATTGACACCGGTGCAGCCCGACCCATCAAACTCCCTGCGTACCGAGTGGGCGCACCCGAACGCGCCCAAATCAAAGAGGCAGTTGGGGACATGCTTCGCGATAACATAATTCAGCCCTCGGCGAGCCCCTGGTCAGCCCCGGTGGTACTAGTAACGAAAAAGGATGGGTCAACCCGGTTCTGCGTCGATTACCGTAAACTAAACGCAGTCACGCTCGGCGATGCCTTCCCCATACCTCGCATCGACGACACCTTCGACAGTCTCGCAGGAGCGCGGTATTTTTCCACCCTCGATCTGGCGTCCGGTTACTGGCAGGTGGAGATGACGGAGGAGGATCGGCCAAAAACAGCATTCACCACCCCGATGGGCCTGTTTGAGTTTCGAGTGTTGCCGTTCGGACTCACTAACGCGCCCGCGACGTTCCAGCGGTTGATGGAGTTGGTGATGCGGGGCTTGCAGTGGGAACAGTGCCTGATTTACTTGGACGATGTGATAGTGTTCAGTAGATCTTTGTCTGAGCATTGGTCCAGGCTTCGAGAGGTGTTCCAGCGACTGCGAGCGGCTCATCTCAAGCTCAAGCCACGTAAGTGTTACATCGCACAACGCGAGGTGGGGTACCTCGGGCATCGCATCAGCGAGGCAGGCGTGCGCACCGATCCGGAGAAGGTACGCGCCGTAGTGGAGTGGCCACGGCCAAGGAATTTGACGGAGATCAGATCATTTTTGGGGCTCGCCACCTATTATCGTCGATTTGTAAAGGGATTCAGCGAGATTGCACGCCCCCTCACCC